ATATATATATATATATATATATATATATATATATATATATATATATATATATATATATATATATTTCGATGTCTTTTCTTTTTCACCTCCCATTTTGAAGTCTCTTTTTATCTCTTCACACGTTTGTTCGTCTCAAACACATCTCTCCCTCTCTTCTACGAAGATTCGGAGTTCAGTTTTTTTGAGGACCCCTTTGTGTCAGAAACACAATTTTTCATCCCCAAATTTACTCTTTCTCAGAAACCCTATTTCAAGATCCATTATTCATCCCCATCATGTCATCATCTCAACAACCCATATCCATAAACCCTACCTATCTCAAGAACCAGTTTGCGCGTCGATTTGTTCGAGCTCTAAACAACCTAAAGAAGCGAAAAGGATCTGCTCATGATAACCAGATGTATCGCAGATCTGGTCGTGTCAAAATCGCAGCGTATACAGCTATGGCGTCTGTTGTTGGATCAAGAAGAGCATGGAGCCGTGCCGTTTTATCTAAGATCAAAAACCGACCAAGAAACAAGGAGTTATTGCGAAGTAATAGAAAGCGGGCTGAGCATAGAATCATGAGTAATCTTCATCATCGTCACCATGCAAAGGTGTCTATAAAGAGAAGAAACCCTAACCATATAAGAGACGAGGTCTATTTTAATCCATTTAAGTATTCAGGTCAGGAATCGAAGCTGAGAAAATTGGTTCCTGGTGCTGGAAGCATGGATTCATGGTGTTTGGTGGATGAAACTGCTGATTACATAAAATGTCTTGCTGCACAGGTAGACGTCATGCAAACCCTTGTGGATCTGTACACTGCCACTTGAATATGCGCAAATATATATATAACCGAATTAGTGTATTAGGATGCTTACACTTTGATGAAGAAGATATATGAGGATTGTTTAAAAGTAAGTCATCTTTTTTTCACTGTAAAAGGTTGAATTTGTAACGTATATGAGTGATGCGGTGGTTTTACTTTTGTAATTAGTTTTGTATATATTATTTAATTAAGTGTCGTGGTTTTACTTTTGTATTTTTTTTGTAATTAGTTTTGTATAAATTATTTAATTAAGTGTGGTTGAATATCTATGGTTGTTGGAAATGATAAATTATACTTTAGAAATTAATAATATTATAGGGGTTAGTTTGGTAAATATTAGTGGCAGTTATTTACCAATCGTTATGTTGGTTAGAAATGTTGTAACTGCTGTATGATTTGTGTATATATATTTATGTCTTAACAAAAAGGTAACTGTTAGTTGTGATAATAAGAATTAATGCTTTGTAATATACATATCCTTTATGACATCAAACCTCTTCGTGTACACATACACATTTTCCCTTGAAATTGAATCCTCATTTTTCTGTCACTGTTGAGATTTTCTGTAAAGTTTATGTTTCTTCTTTAGATTGATTCAACAAAGTGGTATCATAGCCCTTGGTTTGAGTTTGAAGGACTACAAAAAACACAGAAAGATAAGGAGGGAGAACAAGGATTGTCTTGTTATGAAAGAAAACAAATCGTTGGTTGCCACTATGGTCGATTCTCTCCATAGTGAAGTATGGATTGATGGCCGAGTTGAAGAAATCTCGAAAGAATTAAACTGATTGGGATGATGGTGTTGTAATAGACCAGGATGAAAAGATTTCGGACGATGAGTATGATGATTTGTTGGGTTTCAAAATGAAACCAGTTGATGATGTTAGTCTTGAGTTTGAGCGGCTTAGAGCATACGGTATGGGCAACGAGAAGTGATATTATTGCTGATGTGGCACCTCATAACCTAGTCATAACAAGATGAACACCACCCCCTTCTTGTTAAGAAGGTGTTATGACATATCTCGTTGTGACAAAGACAAGATGCAACTGGAAGTTTAATTGGTTGTTGTGTTTATCAACCACTCAAATCATTTTCTTTCTTTCTCTCTCTACCTCTTAACATGTTATAACATGGGAAACACCATTTCCCCCTTGATGTTATGGTTGAGGTGACATATGAATTTGGTGTTATAACGTGGCCCATACCTAATGCTCTTAAGAAGAGTGGTCTTGATAAGAAAAATAGGAAGGGCACTATGGAGTAGTGTACATGCTATATGATTGTGTCTACATGTACACGGAAGGTTTATAAAAGCCTTATATCGGCAAGTTGACTAAAATATGGGAAAACGCGGACAAGAAAAAGGAAGTTAAATTTCATTGGTTTTTCCGTCCATAAGAGATTTCCATGTGGCTTGGAGATACCAAGATTCTCGAAAACGAAATTCCTTTTGCCTCCGGTAAGGGTGTTGGTCTTGCTAACATTAATGCATTGGAAGCAATAGCCGGTAAATGTAATGTTGTTTGTGTCTCCAAGGACCGAAGGAACCCGCAACGATCTGATGATGAACTTAAAGCAACGAACTTCATCTTTTATCGTACCTTTGATGTTGAAAATTGTACGATATCCGACAAGATGGATAAAAGGGTTGGTGGAATCAAAATTAAATACGTATTTAATGCATTAGTCGGTAGCTTGGATACACGGTTTTTTCTATACCAATCTTTGAGAAGGAGTGTGAGAATTTCCTTGAAGGAACAAAGTCAAGTTCGCTTTGGTGATTGATAAAAGTCTAACTTAAGGGGGTGTGTTGGAAATGATAAGTTAGACTTTAGAAATTAATATTATTATAGGGGTTAGTTTGGTAAATATTTGTAACAGTTCTTTACCAATGGTTGTGTTGGTTAGAAATGTTGTAAGTGTCATATGATTATGATTCGTGTGCGTGTGTGTGTCTATATATATATATATATATATATA